AACAAATGAACATACATATAGTCCCTAATTCTTCAGTTCACAATTCTCTGACTCACCGGGGTCGAACTCTGCGTCCCACGTCTGAGGATCGATCATAATGAGGAGTCTTGTGATGTCCTCGTCCTGAAGAACGCCCACCAAGAGGAGCTTGTCCACCAGCTTCAGCAGCGGCCTTGGGAAAATAAAATTACAGTCATAACCTAACAAAGGTCCCCCGGACAATCGCCAAAAATAAACACATCAAAGCTCAACATCAAAAAAGAAAGAAAAGATCCTACATCCCACAACAACAATACAAAAATATAAAAACATAACACATATCCCAGAAACTTACACGAAGAGGTTCTCGTTGGAGCCGCCGATGGGGTCCCTGTTGTGCACCTGGTTCGTGTTGACGGCCTCGTTGAGAGAAGCCATGACGAACTCGCGGGCGACGTCGAGAGGGAAGTAAGGTGACGAGAGGCCTTTGATCGTTTCGATGTTGGCACTGGGACGGGGGGTGCCACATGAGACGTGAATCATCGAGTGTATAGATATGTTATCGGCGTTAATTTGGTTACTAGAGATTCGCCAAAAAGGATAGAAAAGTATATGGAAAAAAAGAAAATATGCAAAGAGAACCGAGGAGAGGAACACAACACGGGAGTACAGTGTTATGAGAGGAAGGAGCAGAGCAGAAGGGTTGAGATTCCAGGCGTCCGAAGCATTATGATTTTTCCCCACCATGCCAGTTATGGTATTCGATGGCAGTCACGTGAGAGACCACCAAAATGCAGGAGAAGAGGGTGGTTACCGGCAGGGTGGCGTGCAGGCAGGGCATCAGGGTGTTGTCGGTGATTGTGGGTTGGCAACAACACATAAAATAAAAAAGGGAAAAATAAAACGTTGCAATTTAGCGTTATACATATATATATATATATATATATATATATATATATATATATATATATATATATATATATATATATATATATATATATATATATAGTCTACATATGTATGTATACGTAAGTATATACATGTACACACATATGTGTGTGTGCGTGTGAGTGTGCGTGTGCGTGTGCGTGTGCGTGTGCGTGTGCGTGTGCGTGTGCGCGTGGTGTGCGTGTGCGTGTGCGTGTCGTGTGCGTGTTCGTGTGCGTGTGCGTGTTGTGCGTGTGCGTGTGCGTGTGCGTGTGCGTGTGCGTGTGTGTTCGTGAGCGTGTGTGCGTGTATGTGTCCATATATATACATATGTACTTATACATACTTTAAGAATATTAGAGCAGCTACTAACGTATCATAAATAATCAACTCTAAAAAAATAGGTGAGAAAATGCCAGGGAAAAACAATCACAAATAGTTACACCTGACTTCCCATCTAATAGAATAAATGGTTATGAAAGAATATACGACCATTACAAAATTTTCTTTCACTATCTATATTCCTAACCACAGCTTAATATTTACCTCTAAAGTAACAGGGAAATGAGATTGGAAATGGCAACAGCCTAAAAATATCCAGCGTCTAAAGAACAAATGTCAAGGAGTTAATTGGCAAGAAATTGAGATATTTAACCCTACGAAAGCAAATGACAAAGCATTCATTGATAGGAGATTTGGGATACACAGCGCCAAAAATAATTATGATAATGAATAACAACAATTACGAGAAGTAAGTCCCAGAGGGTCGAGGATACGTACGAGATATCTGACATGGTCATGACAGGTCGGACGGATTCGGTGTGTGTGGCTGACATGGAGTTGCCCATACCCTCCTCCTGATAGATCTCCTTCAGGTCGTTGCTCAGCGGCACGATAAACTCGTTCTGGGTCACCTCCCTGCCGAAGGTCAAGGGGGGTCAGTTTGTCTTTGTATTGCGTTAGTTTTTAACTACTCTTGTTGATATCACTGAAATAATAGTTATGACTGAGATTAAACAACCCCATCATTACTATTTTCATTCTCACTATTGGTGATAATACCGATTGTGGTTTTAATGGCGGTGATGAGTTATTACTACATAGTTATCATTACCACTACCACCATCTTCACCAACTCTATCTCTACCATACCGGTGAATATTAACAACACAACAAACCCTAAAACTACCTACATTGTATTAGCGAAACTCTCCAGATGCAATGCAATGACGAGGTTGTAGAAGCCCATCCTGAGCGGGCCCGACATGTACTCGCTCTGCATGGCGTACAGCAGCTGCCTCTGGTCCACGTGAGAGCACAATGTATGGGCGGCCCTGTAGTTGCTCTGGTAACACACGGCGCAGTACAGGGCTAACGTCTGCGTGTGGAAGGCGAGTAATTTGTCGTACTCTATGAGTTCGAGGATGTCGATGCACCGGTCCTCCTCGGGAATGTGGAGGGCGAGCATGGGCACCGAGTCCTCAGCCAGCATGGACCAGCCACGAATATCTGACAGCTTGAGTGCGTGGATCCTCAGGGACGTGTTGGGGACTCGAGACCATTGGTGGGGCTGTGGGGAGGAGATGCGTGTTTT